CAACCTGACCAGTGCATGAACACTTAGTTCTCTAGGGCCAGCCACCCTAATCTGCTGCTAGACAAAGCTGCACATAAGGTGTTTGATGGAAAGCTAAAGAGAATGACAGAGATAGCCAGGAGTAAACTTGTATTACTCAAGTTGTGGTGTGTATAATGAGGATAAGGGCACCTCTTATTTATAGCTAAGGCCCTTTTGAGTCAATGGTTGACATTGTTCCTATCCTAGGACTCATAAAGAGTCTAATATATATAAGAGATTATAGTAGGATTACAATGACTAGTTCTAATTTTACATGGGCTTTATTAGAAAAGAGTTTAAACTAGCTTGGACTATTTCTTTAGGATTGCCTATGTAGGGCCTTCCCTAGGCTTGCTCTTGGTTCGATTTTGCCCTTGTTTGGGCTTACTCCTATGTCTAGGTTTGTCTAAAAGTTGTCAAACCGGATCCCTTAGCCTAAGCTCCCTAAGCTCATTACAATTCCTGTGCACCCAATCTGGTCATGGTCCTACCCTCAGAACCTCTATTACACCTTTAGGCCTGGTCTTCCTTGCATTCTGACTTACTTTCAGTTCCTTTAAAACTACTTCTTATCTTGGTAAGAACCCTTAGGCGTTGTCTTTTTCACAGACTGTGACATTCTCCCTTACTTATTTTAGCAACGCCCTCGTTGCTACAAGGATGCTGTGTTCGAACTACACGCCCTTATGCACATCAGCTTTGTCTTCTGCCACTCACACAGATTTCTAATGTTTCAATCTCATACTAAAATAAGTACTCTGTTGATTGTTTTCCTAAGTATCATCAGCCTCATGTTGCACTGGTTTTATTTGCCTGCACGTTCGATGTTTCATCTGCTTTCTTTAAGTTGCCCATTGCATACTCTTTTTGGAAGGACCTAGCTACACCTCGGGACTCCTACGGTGGCACTCCATTGCCACTTTGTCCTAATATTTTGGAGAGATTTTGCCTTCTCGATAGAATCAAAAAGTACTAAGTCACACCACCTTAGCTCCTCTTGGTGCTTATCATCGCTACTAGTTTTACCTACAAATAGCTTTTTTTCCTAGTTGATGGTTGAAAGCCTTGCATGCCTTAGGCACTCCTTGATCGTGTGTTGACTGCCACATAAAAAGCAACTCAAGGGTCTCTTCTCCTTGCCTCTAATGGTAGCACTATCGACATTGCAAAATCTAAACTTTTTCATAGCCTTTTCCTCATATGAGGAACAAACACCAGTGTTTCCCCCACTTTAGCTGTTTTCCCTAGGTCTTAGAAACTTGGTGCACTTAACTTAAGTTTTCAATTCTGCAGTAACATTGGTCTGACTTGACTCTTGCACACCATTTTGCTATAACATGGTCTTTACTTTCATCTTTTGACTATCTAAAAAACACTTAAGCACTACCACCTTGGGTCCTAAGCCCACATTAGCAACTCTAGTAGTTCACAATGTAGCATGATTAACTCTGACCCTCACCAGCTCCTATCGCAAGGTTGACATCATGGCTTTCAATGCCTAATTTCATTGCATGAGCACCCGCAATGTCTTATTCAATGATCCTTCCTTATCCTCAAACATATCCCTCAAATCAGCTATAGTCACCTTGCATTTTTGTAGTTAAGTGTCCAGAGACATCACCATGTCTCCCAATCTAGCCTCCCTCACTACTTTTGTAGGTGGGCATTCATCAAGGCCCTTGGTCTCGTTTTTCCTAGCCATGCCATAGCCCCAAAGCACATTGTTAGTCCCAAATGCACCAAACTAAAGGATTATTTCAACCTTTTGTACATTTCAGTGATCTAGTCATGGTTCCCACAAACTAACACACCTATCTGTTAGCACAACACACCAGTACACACACATTGTCAGGCATAATCTGCACATTGGCTTAGCATACCTTGCACATCGATCAGGCAATAGTCTACACACCTGCACAACATTCCTAGCATTTCCATGCACCATAGTAGCAATCAATCAAACACCTAGTTTACACTCTTGTATGCCTGCACCTTGTGCACCATGAGGCGTATCACCAGCACACGAGCAGAAAAATGACCTAGGATGCCCGTACCACACAATTGAATGTAACACGTCTAAAACTTCCCCCAAGGCTAACACTGGTTTTAGCAGCACCCAACACTGATCACTTTCTCTAAACTAGCTTCTGCTAACTTCGAACTAGCTTTGCACTTGCTTTGATACCACTTTGATAGGATAAAATAACATTAAACAATATTTAAACCGAATATGTCATGTAGCAAAAAATAAATAAATTATCTCTCTCTTTTGTGAATCTAGCAAGAATAAACAAATAGAGCTCACAAATAAATCATCAAACTACAAGCACAAGGATACAAACAATTTACATGGATACTCTCCCAAAAATGAGAAAAAATTAAGGACAACAACAAATAATCTCCACTATCAAAATAATGGGAATACAAAGTTCTCTCTAGCTAAAACTAAAAGTATACAACCACAATATCTCAAGATTAAACAATCTTGATAAAGAAACAATCTTATAAGAAAAAATTAACAAAATCTCAAGAAATTTAATGATTAACAAATACCTATGAAATCAGTAGGTAGAAAACTTGAAACCCAATCTCCACTATTCAAATTGAAGAACAATGAGTCATGAACACACTGGTAAAATTTTAGCTCAATTGGACAACGAATTGACCTTGATCAAATTACTTGACTGAAATTGCACAAAATCTCATTTTTTTCCTTACTTTTCCCTATTTTTCTATCACACACTCTTTTTTTTTTTAGCCATATAAGGGTTTAAAACCTTATAACCAAGCATGAAAGGATTAAAATGTCCTTGGTGAATGGGCTTTAGTTTTAGGCCACTTCCATATAGAGGAAACTAAGCCTAACAAATCTCCTCATTTTTTACTATGTGGAGGGAATTGCAATTCCGACGATCAAATGACAAACTTCAAGTTTCTCCCTTGGTAGTGTCTTTGTTAACATATCAAAACCATTATAATTGGTGTGAATCTTCTTAAGTTCAAATAAGTTATCATTATGAGCATTTTTTAACCAATGATACCTTACATTAATGTGCTTTGATTTTGAATGAAAAGTAGAATTCTTATCAAGGTGAATTGCATTTTGATTGTTACAAAATATCACATAATGTTGCTGCTTGAAACTGAGTTACTATATGAACTTTTTTATCCACAACAACTCGTTACATGCTTTAGTGGTTGCAACATATTCAGCCTCTATTGTAGAAAGTGTGATGCATTTTTGTAGTCTTAATTGCCAAGATACAATCCTACCTGATAATGTAATCAAATAACCTAAAGTGAACTTTCAAGAATCAACATCTCCTGTCATATTTGAATCAGTGTAGCCAATTAGCACTAGTTTCTTACTTCAAAAATAAGTCTCAAGTCAAAAATGCCTCGTAGATATCACATAATCCACTTAATTGCATTCCAATGCTCTCTTCCTAGATTTTGACAAAAAATGACTAACAACACCAACTGCGTGGGCTATGTTTGACCTAGTACACATCATTGCATTCATCAAACTTTTTACTATTGAAGCATACAGAACTCTTCTCATGTCTTCCTTCTCTTTAGCTGTAGAAGGTTAGCTATAGAAGGACTTTGATTAATACTTAGCTCAAAGCGTATAGCAAGAGGAGAGCTAACCATTTTAGTTTTATCCATATTGAACCTTTCAAACATCTTTTCAATATAGTGCTTCTATGACATGTACAATTCCTTAGCTATTCTATCTCGATAAATTCAAATTCCAAGAGCTATGCTGTCCCCAAGTCCTTCATAGCAAAAGATTTACTCAATTGCTTCTTCAACTGGTCAATTCTAGAAGTATTCTTACCAACAATCAATATGTCATCAACATAAAGTAATAATATGATAAAATCATCATTAGAGAATTTTTTCACAAACACACAATGGTCAGAAGTAGTTTTTTGGTAGTCTTGCTCACCCATAACTGACTCAAACTTTTTATACCACTCTCTTGGTGCTAGCTTCAACCCATAAAGACTTTTCTTCAACTTGCACACAAAATCTTCTTTTTCTTTTACCATGAAACCATCTTGCTGCTCCATGTAAATCTCTTTGTCCAAGTCATCATGGAGAAAACAATTTTGGCATCCATTTGCTCAATCTCCAAATCAAGAGTAGCTAACGAATAAATGACATCTTAACAACTAGAAAAATGATTTCATCAAAGTAAATACCTTTCTTTTGACTGAATCTCTTGACAACCAATCGAACTTTGAAACGTGCTGTGAAGTGTGTGGTAATTTTTTCCCAAAAGCAAGAGTTATGATTTGTTGGTCCGATAAATTAGATCTTATACTATGAAAAATCATTGTTAATTTTGGTCTTTTCCTTCTCTCCAACAATTTCACTGATCTGCTGCAGGATTGGCACTGGCTCCTCATTTAAAATCTTTGGTCCTGCATGGCTACCATATCATACATATCAGTATCCAATGGCTCTTTTTTAAAAAATATTCGCTTGTAAGCTTCAACTTCCTTCTCCAAGAAATGCTTATCCCTTTCTTTCCTTAATAAGATCTCTTTGAGAATGTTTATTTCTTAAGCATCATATTCAGACTTTTCCTCTATCATCATCTGGTATTGCCTAGCTTCCATCTCAAGTTGCCTTCTCCTAGATGCAGTATCATTGGTGCAGGCTCATCTTCACCAGTAGCGGCAGCACTTCTCTCATTCTCATGTTGTCAACTGGACTATTTGGTGTGTCAGGAATGGTGAACTGCATGCTAAATCCCGACAAAGGCCCTGAGAAGTTGCTAATTTCACCAGAAAGTACTAGCCATAGTACAACCAAGCAAAAGTGACAAACAAAGGCTGGGTTGTTCAGTCCTCTCAATATCGGCTACCCCTAGGATTGGCGATTATAAGGTGAATTTTGATGGAGCATTGCGCATTATGAGTAAAGCAGCTCATAATGATATGCAGCTTGTGTAGCGACTTGCCCTTGTCTAGAACAAGCAAGTCATGATCTTTCATCCTAGTCTTGTACTGTAGTCTTTCATGCTAGAAACAAAGCAGCTCATATACTAGCAAAATCTGGTTTACAGAGTCACGAAGGTAAAGTCTGGGTACAAGAGTACAGCATATTATTCATGCAGAAAGTAAGACAGATTTATTAATGAAACATTACCATTGTTTAAAAAAAAAAAAAAAACCATTGATAAAAATTGGAAAACAAGTATGGCCATGAAAAATGCTAGCAGTCTAGCTAGTGAGTAAACTCCTTGTTACTGCGCTGTGGAACTTCTTGGATGATAGCTCGTAGAAGATCAAAGTAAAGAGGCAATTGTGCAAGAGCAAAGAAGGATACTGGCAAGCATGTTACTACGTAAATTGGGAAGGCTGCGAATTTTAATTTATCTCTGAGTTCGAAGAAATGGCCTGCACAAAATGAGACTAGTATTGCAGCTATAGAAGTGAACAATGCTGTTAAACCCAGAATGAGTTTCCAAGGCAATTTATGAGCGAAATCTTTCTCTTCGAATCGAGAGGTGAGGATTGCCAGGAAAAAGACGAGGGCTGTCACAGAGAAGCAAAGGGCTACTAGGGATGCAATGGAGAAGACAGAAAATGCAGGTTCATCCCCAAGAACTGGTTTTCCAGTTTCTTCCTTGACTCCACCTGGAATAGTCGCTGAAGTTGCAAATGCTACTGTTGCTATAAGTGCTGCTACCAGAGAGCATGATTCGGAGGTTTTGGTGAGCCATTCACTACCATCCTTGACAATAGATTTGTGTGTTTCAGTGAATATTTGTTTTGGCGTTTGATTCTTGCGGTTGTAATGAACAAGCAAATGCTGTGAGATGGAATTCTTGACAAACTGCAATATTAGTAGAATTACTTAATTTAAATAGGATGGAGAAGATAAAAGGGAATAGATAATATAACAATTTCGAAAGTTGAAACTCTACTCAGTGGCAGATTCATGTTTAAAGGTAGGATGTTCATAGACACCCAAAATTAAAAAAAAAAACAATTTTTGAGAAAAAATTTTCTTTCCCACCTTAAAATTTTTTCTTGAACACCTTTTCCGTCCATAAAATTGATAAATCTATCCAAAATTTTTGATTATAAGTGAACTAACCTGAAAATAATTTTGGATTCGCCACTGTCTCATACTACTAAAATAGGTAAGGTTCTAGAGCATACCTTGTACCATTTGAGTTCCCATTGCATTTGTAATGCAGATCCTGGAATGAGCCAAGGCCGATATTCTCCATATTTGGCTGCAAGGTGCAATGCATTGTTCCCTTGGTTGTCCCGCTGTCGAAAAACGCTTTCATGCAGTGGAGTTTTTCTTTCTATTAGGAACCGAAAAGTATGAGTTTGCCTGTTCTCCACTGCCAAAAGCAAGATATTTTTGTTATTGGCATCCAAGTCCTGAATAGAAACAGGAAATTTTTCTAGAATCTTTTCCACCATTTCTGTTACACCCATCCTTGCTGCTATCAGGATAGGCGACTCAGTCCTTTTTGGCTCATGAGCTACTTTCTTTTCAAATGCCATCTTCACCGCAAGCTTTGAACTCTTCGAATCCACCGATCCTACTATACGATATTCTTTAATAAAGCTTTCCATCGGTGCTAATATCCCTTCCTTGTTTGAGGGACCTGTTATGAGATTTAACTTTTCGTTACTTCAATTTCTAATAACATCAAATAGCAAAAAGTATTCCTAACCAATATTTTAACAGGATTTTTTTAACATGAGAGATGTTGCAGCCGGAATTGAATTCTAAATTTACAAGATGCTATCTTTTAGGGCAGCTTAATACTTAAGAAACTACCTGAGTTAAGCTGTGCGTTAAATATTTTAACAGGATTACAGTATTGTTTAAATGCTAATAATTACTTAGGAGGTAGTAATATGATAGTCATGGTTTACCTTCAGCTTCTTTGGTTACCAACGGGGAATTTGGCCCAACCTGACGCAGCTGATCCACTTTAGGGTACACATTCTTTTCTGCCTCCACACCTTGAGCTGCCCCAGAAAGGCGTGGGTCGAAATTAATGTCAAACTCTTCATCCTTTGCAGTCCCTCCTTCATTATATTTGTATAAAGAAGTTTTCTCTATCAATTCATTCATGACCTGCAAAGCCCATGTGTGTCTCTCTTTCTTTGCTATGATTTTCTTTATTCTACGAAAGCCTGTAATATTCCAAATATAAGCTTGAAAACTAGAGAACAATTAATTGGAAAATAAATATACTTCATTAAATCATTTTTCTTCTTCTTTTTTTTATGAACTGATTCCTTACACTTTTCAATTCAATTATCAGTGATAAATTAAAAAAAAAAACTTGAATTAGAATTAAATTATCATTCAATTATATTATTTTATAACAATTAATTGAGTTTTCAAATCTTTATTTTTATTTAGTTAAACTCTCGATTTAATGAAAACTAATCACTTGAATCATATGGCAGTGACAAGCTATTAATCAAGTTTTATCCAATAAAAAGTTTAATTAAATGAAAATAAATATTTTAAAATTTAATTTATTATAATAAAATAATAGTAACTTGAAAGATAATTTAATTTTAATTTAAGAAGGTTTTGTATTCAAACCTTCTTCTTTCTTTTTCTATGATCATAGCCAAAGTTTAATTTTATTTATATATGTTTTAAAGTCATAAGATAAATGTGATTGAGCTGCAGTGATAAAACATAAGGATACTAACCAAATCCCATAACAATTAGTAGCAAATTCATCAAAAACTTAAGAAACTGGATAAATGTGGCATAATTGGGTGGAAGATAGCCTCTTTTGAGAGAGTCTTGTTTGACCTCCTCCTCTTCTACAGGACCTTTACCTTCAAAAGATATAAGCAGAAAGGATTATAATTTCATAGCAGAATAAAAGAGCATTATTTGATACAAAGATTCGAACCATATTTTTATGGCCACACACAAGTTTTAATTAAATTAACATAGTAAATCGCAATCACATATGATGTTAATTTTAAGAAAATAATCTTTATTAATGACCTTTCAATTTCACTTTTAATATTTTTTTAGATTACATTCCAAATCTCAAAATTACATCATAGTAAAATAATTCACAACAAATATGATATTATTATTACATTCAATATGAAAACACAATCAATAAATTACACAAACTAATTAAAAAAAGTAAACATAAATAAAGTTATATCCAATTCATGCATAGTAAAACTTGAATATAAAATTTTATGTCCGCCATATCCTTTTACCATCACATGCCATATGTCACATATTTTAACATTTCAAGTATATGTATATATGATAACAATGTTAGATGCAAGTATATGTAAACATCAATGTCCCATGATCTTAAACACATGTGGTGCGTCATGTTTTATTCACATTTACATTTATCTCAAGTTTATAATGATTAATTAATAGAGGAATAAAACTAACATGTACCTCCGTTTCTCTTGCTTTCCCTAATAATTTCAATGTTGGGTTGATAGAACTTTGTTTTACTCTTGCTTTTCTCTATTATTTGAATACAAGCAAAATACAGTTTCTTTTTTTTTTTTTTTTCATAGGACATCATGCTTCATTTTTCATTTTTACCAATCAAACGTTAAACATGACAACAAATAGATATAATGAAGCTGTTTTTCCAAGTGATTATGATTCTTACCATGATTGCTGATTCTCTTTTGTGAAGCTGCATTCTCTTCATCATTTTTCTGGAAGCATATAGCTTTCGCCGACCTAATCTCTGCAAACTCGAATCAATCACCGATTTTAATGCTTTATTATTAAACACCCTTCAATCCCAAATAATTGTTTTCTATTGACTTTTTTTTTATCAAAGTAATTCAATTTTGACCTTTATATTTTAAATATTATATTAAATTAAAATTTTAAATATATATATATGTTTTAGACAATTTGAAACTCAAATTTACAAATTTTATTTTTAAAAATTTTTAATTTTTATATTTTATTAAAAATAATGGTTAAAATTAAATTAATTTGACAAAAAAAATAAAGAATAATAATTTTGAGGTAGAGGAAGTATAAAAATTTTGTTAATGTATATGAAAAAAAAAAGAGAGTAACCCACTTTCCAATGTCAATCCATAAAAGACCACGCCAAACAGCATACGAAAAAATTCTGCACATGTTCCATAATTTTCAGGATACCAAGGATCTTTTCTTCCTTTGAACCTTTCCAGGTAAGCGGCGTTGTTATTGTCACGATGTATCTCATTTGGTTCATTGACTATTAAGCCTACAACATATGAAAGCAATAAAAGAAATTCGTTATCATGTTTTAACAAAATATGAGAAAAAAAAAAAATGCTGCAGACAGTTTCTATTTGTCCTCTTCATGTAAGTAAATTTCCACCAATTTCCATATTCTAGATGTAAATCAAGAACAATACATATTTAGATATGGTCAATGTTAAATTTTCTCTATTTTTTTAGAAACTCGAAGTGAATGAAAGAGTTAAGTACTTCAAACTAACATATGAATAGAGGTATCAAAATCTAATAATTATATTACTGAAAAATTATTCATTTGTTGTTAGTAAAATTTTTAAATTTCACAAACAAAATTAATAAGATATCATTTTAGATTTATTGTTAAGGTGTATTTATAAAAAAACTAATTAAAAATGAAATAAAATATGTACCAATCTTTTAATTCTGTCTATAAAATAAAAAAAATTACAATATACCAAACACTAATTCTTAAATTAATATAGTATATATATAAATGTTACCAGCAATATGCTCACACTTTGCCGTGGGGTCCAAATTTTTTATTTATGGTTAAAAATGTTCATAATGGATTTAATAATCAGTGAGTATAGTTTTGTTTATAATTTTATAATATTTTAACAAAATAATAATCAGTGAAAATTTATTAATTAATTTATAGATTGTTTATCCCTTTCATTCTTATATCTTATATAATAAATCAAATGTAAATCTACTTTTTCAAATTCATCTTTCCAAACATAATTTAAAAATATTTAAAAAATAATAAAAAAATTTAAACTAAAAGAATGAGAAAAACCCAAGGAAAAATGAAAAGGAAAGGAGTCAAATGCGGTTTCACGTGGACACTTTTACTTAGGGTTGGGAACAGCTTGAGTAGGGACGGATTTATACTTATCCCAATTTTGACCTAATATTGAATTATTATATTTTATACTAGATCTTAAACCGATATATATAAAATCTCCATTCGGTCTGACTTAATCTAAAATCTATTTAATAATATAAGATTAATGAAAATATTGTTTTTCAATATAAATTACATTTTAATTATATATAAATATAGTATTTTAATAAATTAAAGTATTAAATAATAATTTTATTAATATAATACATATATAATTAAATAATTAATAAAATATATATTCTTATATATACCTCGAGACAAAATGGAGTATCCTAAACCCACCTCCAACCCATCCTCGATTTTCAAAAAGAAAAAATCATCCCATCTTGAACCAATTTTAATTTAAAAAAAAAAAAGCTATTCCTATTTGATTGACAAATCAAAATTCATCGGATATAGGATGTTTTGCCATCCCTACTTTCACCAACCCCATTTCTTAAAAGAAACTATCTTATTAAAAAGAGGAAACAAAATGACAAAACAAAATCAAAAACAAAGGAATAACTGAAAAAAGAAAAGAAAGCTAAATGGAGATACCATGTGTATAATTTTAATGTCCATTTATCTTTTCCAAACATTGATAAGAAATAGTAAAATAGCCACTTTAAAAAAGAAAAACCAAAAGAAAGGTAAAACCAAAAAAGGAAAAAAAATCCAAAAAATAAGAGAAGTCAAATGGAGGTGCCACATAGACACTTTAATTTTAAGAATGATAATGGGTCAGTTCAAGGTAGGTTTATGATCATCCTAACTCTAACTTAACTTTTTAATAATTCAACACAACTTTAATTCTGACCTAACATCGAGTTATTATTTTTAATACTTAATCACAACCCTACACTTATATCTATAACCCGCATTCAATTCAAATTGATTCAAAATTAATTCAATAATTTGAAATTAATTGAATGTTCGTAAAAATATTATTTTTAATATAAATTACATTTTAATTATGTATAAATATTGTATTTCTATTAAATCAATGTATTAAAAATAACTTTATTAATATAATACATATATATAATTAAATAAATAATAAAATATATATTTTTATGTAAACTTGGTGCATGGGAGACACCATAAACCACATTCGACTCAAACTAGATTTTCAAAACGAAAAAACTTCGATCCAATCTCGAATTTTAAAATTAGGGTGAACCAAAACCCATTGGATATGGGTTGTTTTGTCATCATTACCTCTATTAACTTTGTCCTACAAAAATTTTATCTAATTAAAAAGTCAAAAACTAAAAAAAAAAAAAAGAAATTGCAAAAAAAAAAAGAAAGAAAAAGCAAATTTAGGATGCTACATGGATTTATTAAATTAAAATATTAAATAATGATTTTATTAATATAATATATAAATTAAATAAATAATAAAAAAATATATTTTTTTATACCTTGGATAGGATGTAATACTTTAAATTTGCCTTCAATTCGACCTTGATTTTTTTTTTTAAAAAAATCTAATCCTATCTCAAATTAAAAAAAAATGCATATTAGATCAAAACGAATTGAAACCTATCGAATAGAGTTTATTTTATCATGTCTATTTCTATTTATTTTTATCTTAAAAAATCTATTTAATTAAAATAAATAGTCAAAAATTAAAAAAAAAAAAAAGAAAACAAAAACAAATTTTAAAAAATCAAAATAAAAAAGAATGAAAAAAAAAAAAGAGAAATAGAGTGTCACCTGGACACGCCTATCATCATTGAAACCTAAACTTTTTATTGTATTGATGGATTTTAAAAACCCCAAAAAAAAGATAAAAAAAATTGGAGTCCCTTCAACACATTTATTGGTATCTTTTTTATAAATTTATTTAATAAAAAAATAAAGTATCTAAAAAAAGAAGAAAAATTTTTTTAATTAATAATATCAAATGAAACCCACATAATTTTTTAAAAATAATATTTATTAAACATAAAAATAAAATAAAATAAAGAAAGAATAGAAAAAATTAAGGGAAATGACATGTAATGTCTTGAATGTGGTTTTCCAAGCACTATCTCGATTCAGCCGGTCCAAATATTATTTTATTAATTTTTATTTAATTGTAATTTTATAATTCTAAAATATTTTTAATATTAAAATAAAATATAATTTAGTTATGTACAGTAAAACGAGGCTACCGGATATTAACGGGCAAATCAAATCTAGGACAAACCTTTAAATTTTTTAACTGATTTGATAAGTTTGATTTCACTCATGAACAATTTATTAAAAAAACACAACATAATCCAAGTTTCATCATTCCTGGCATTAACAAAAATTCAGCATTAATGACGCTAATGGTAATAAATTAATGATAGTGTTATAGACGATGAGATTGAAAATTTTGATAACAAGTTCTGAAATAATTTTTATTTTTATAAAAATATAAAATTTTACGTTTATAAATTAAAATCTTCAACTAATAAATAACATGCGTGATCTAAAGATATCCATGAGTTAGAATGATTAGGATTCAGTTGACATCTCAAAAACTTAAGCATGAACCATGTCTGTCTAATTTTTTATTTAATTAAAATTTTACGTATTTTACATTAATATTTAAATTAAAATTAAATACAAATAAATTACTTTTTAAATAAATTTAATTATAATTCTTAGTCAAATTTAAAAATTATATTCAAATCTAACTCAATTTGGGTTGCACTCAAGAGTTTAGATATTTATAAAATTACTTTTAAATATAATATATATATATATATAAATATATATTTTTTAAATACTTACATCGATAGATGATCCAATCAAATCGGCCCAGACGACTACCGCTTTTAAATGCATTAGGCTTAGCTGCTAAAATATGGAGAGGAGTGAAACCATCTGCATTAACATCGTTCACAAGCTCTGGATATTTGCGTATGACTTGAAATGCCAAACCTTCAAATCAAATTCAAGATGGATTATTAAGATAATTTTCATCAATCAATCAAAACAAATTTTCTAAATGCTTATTTTAGAATCTAATAATTTATCCAATTCTTTAAACTAAAATTTATTTTTTTTCATTTAAGAAAAAGTGATCGATAGAAATTAGTAATTATTCTTAATTGAACTAAGATTGCCGCATGGGAGTAATGTTTAATTAACAAATATAAATTTGCATCCATTAATCCTGTCAATGGTAATTAGTGTTGTTTTTGTGAGAGTTGCGGTGGCTTTAAGATAGAGAAACAAAATATAAAGTTTCGCTTGCTGCAAAGAGACCTAGCTATTTGTATATTTGAGTCTGTTTATTTCAGATTTAGCGTATGTAAAATACGAAAATTATTATATCATAATTCGTATTGATATATTAAATAAAAAATATATTTTTAAAAATTTTTGTCACACTCATATAGTTTTTTTGTTAAAATTTTAAATTATATTTTTTTTTCATATCGTGTCACCATATTATATTTAAAATTACAAGAGTAACTATAAATGCTACTATCTTTTAAGTTTATTTCACCCCCAACTAATTATGGTATGTAAAAGGAGTTGAATTGAATAACTTTGAAATACAATAAAATATAATTTTATGACATCTTATACTTGTAAAATCAAACTACTAATTAAACACATGTCACAAGAGAGAAAAATATCTTTTTCAGTTACATTTTTCTTCAACAAACAATGTCTAAAAGGTCTGTTCTTATTTTGAGAACGAGAGGAAAAGATTTGAATGGGTTCTAATTTGTTCAAATGTGTGAAGTCAATATAATCCCCAATCAATTTCCTTGGTTTGGAACCTTTCCAAAGCTATTATATGCTTTCTTAATCACTAGTATCTCGTTTCATTGAATAGGGTTGGAAACAAAATTTTCATCAAATCAGAGATAGGAAAATTAAGAAGACTTACTAAAGAATTCTCCTTTAATGGCAGCATGAAGAATGGTATCCCCATTAGCCTTCCTCCGCAAAATCTCCGAGCGGCTTCCTTTGTAAAGAAAATGGAGGCAAAGAAAAGCATCTTTGTGGCCAAAATGGGCTGCCAAGAAAAGAGGGGTCTCATTCTCATTGTTGCATTCAGCAATAAGGCTGTGATCTTTGGAAGCCATTTGATGGCACATGCTCAAATATCCCAATGCTGCTGCTGTATGAAGAGGTGTATTTCCTCTCTTGTTTTTCATTTTCAGAATCTCTGAAGCATTTTTGCCTAGGCTATCCACCAATTCAGACACGATCTCAGGTTTCCCATCTGAGACTGCTAAATGCAAAGCAGTATCCGATGATGCTGTGAGCACTGCCTTGTGGCTCTCATCGTTTTTCTTGTAAGTCTCAACAACTTGCTTCCATTGGTCTTTCATGGCATTTTCAAACAGAATTTCAGATAAGGTTTTGGGCACTACTTGCTTGTCCATGTCTACAGCAGCTGCTTCTCTAATTTCCATAACGATGGTTGAAGCAAGCGCTCTGTGTTTCTTCTATTAGTTTAGCTTATTTATAAAGTGCATCAGTGTGTGATTTACGTGCAATTCCTTGTTCCCTCTAAAACGTGCAACCTGCTTTGGAATTTTGCTTTATTTACTTCGAGCACAATCCATCAATATATTCTTTATTTTTTTCACCCAAAAGTGGAATTCGCAATTGGTGTATTCTTATCCTATCTGCTTGTGTAAAAGATAAAAATTAATAGACCATAATTCATGTCTATGCATCAAAAACAAATTACTTCTTTTTTTTTGTTTTTATTAAATTTTTATATAATTTTTGTCAAAATTTTAAATAAAAAATTATATCACTTTCATGTATTTTTTTATTATTTTTATATCATATCATCATATTATATCTAAAATTATTTGAGTTATCTATAAGCGTGAGTAAGCCAAATTTCACAAGACTTCAACTTTCGTATATAATTTTTTATATTTTTTTTAAATGACTTTGATATATAATTTTTCTTAAATGACAAAATGTATAAATACAGAGAAAGAGACTAATTATGTTACAATTGGATTTGTATTTTAGCTATTTTTCATTTTTTAAATTACTATGATATTGCTTTTTTACTTAATTTAATTTTGCTTATTAATAATTTTTCAAAAAAAAATAAAACATAAATTATAAAAATATCTATAAAACAGAATATAAGTAAAAGAAAAATGCATATGAGATAAAGTGCTGGATCCCATTCAGAATATTGTTGCAATGAAGTAAGAGGCTGAGAAAATCATAAAGTAGAAATATGTTTAAAAGGTTAACACAATAATATTTATTCTGTACTTGAAGTAGACGATAAGTAAAATAGAATTCCTTTCTTCACGTTTATCCATGGGAACCACACATATTTCTACTTTTCACTTTTTTTTTCGCTTTATTTCGTGAAAACATGACAAATAGTTAAGATAAAAGTTTTTAAAAAAAATGAGATTGTGATCAAATTTGTCATTATATTATGGGATAATGTTGAAAATTTCCATCATACCTCAATTAGTTTCATTGATTTTGCCATTAAATTTTTAATTGAGTTTATTATAATTTTAGTACTTGAATTTTATAAAAATATACAAATTGGTACCAAAAAAATAACATATATAATTTGCAAACATTTAAATAATATATAATTTACACTTTTAACTTTTAAATTATATATCATATTATCAAACTTTAATCTCGTTAATCATATCAACTTATATATGTATCGTTTGACAAATATTATCATGACCACACATTATATCAACATTTTTTAATATAATTTAAAAATATTTATTTTTTTTACCTGAATCATAAAAATTATCTAGAATATGTTAATTATTTGTTATCATGTGATATTCACACGAAGGATTTTACAAAATATTTAACACTTTTATTTAACAAATAATATGCATATAACAAATACAATATTAGAATTTAAATTAAAATGATACATTATTTGAAAGTTCATAGTGTAAATTATACATTTTTTCAAAATTCAAGTACTAAAAATAAAATTAACTCATTTTTTTTAACAATAAGTATTAAAATTTCCGTCTCTTGCATTAACGAAACATTTTATAAACATTCTTGTTAAGATAATATTATATAATACTAGGTAATTATTTAGTCAAATATAATATTAAATATTATACTATTATCATTAAAATAATATCTAAAATTATGATACAGTTACGATATCATATGAGATTCATTCCTTAATTAGTGAAAGTTTTCTATGTATAAATATAATATTTATGCATAGTATTTACTAAGGCTAATAAAAACAAATTTTCACTTTTTTTAACATAGAATAAGAGCCAAGCTTTTTCATTTAGTTTTAATCTAAAACCTAGCTTAGAGATCAGTTTCGTTTTTTTTTTTTTTTAGTTTTACACAAACACTTAAGCTTTTGATGAATTCTTTAGTAAAGTGTGGATGGATTTGACTGTTAGCTATTTTTTCAACCTTCAAATTGTCCTGATTTGAATGTATTGGATCTTGGATTTTTTTAAGAGTAATACAATCTTTGCAGCATCAAGAAGCTCCTAAAAGAATTGATGAATTAGTACAGCTGTAGAAAAATCTTTTAATGAGTTGTCACCAGAAAGTTTGATCAATGTGTTTTTTTACATTACAAGCTTGCATGGTTGAAATTATGAAGGTTAATAGAGGAAAGAATTATAGGTTACCACATATGGGTCCGTAAAGGTTGGAAAGAAATGAAGAACTTTCGGTCTAACTTCATTGTGACCAAGAAATTGTGCAAGAACTTTTGCTGTAGATTCAACTTCAAAGTTGAATGCAATAGTAATCTTGGATTTATGAAAAAAAAATATTTTTTGGTTAGATGGACAGTAATATTTTTGCATGTTTTTAGAACATAAAAAATGCTACAAAGTGAGACACGTAATGATCTTTTTGTATGTTTTTGTTTAACCATAACGTTACTTTTGTAAATCTTGAGTATATATGGCTTGAGGAAATATGGTGCTTTTTTATTAAGGCTATGTTTGGATTTAGGAAAGCCTAGGGAAAGAAAAGGAAAGGAACAAAAGGAAATGGGGAAACATTTTTATTATTTGTGTATAATATAAATTAAAATAAAGGAAAGGAAGGGATGCTTAGCTCCCATTGGTTTCTCTCAAATTCCTTCATTTTTTAATTACCTTTTAATTACCCCAAATTTGGAGAAAAATGAAAGAAAAGGAAAAGAATAAAATTTTTAAAATATAAAATGATTATTATATTATTATTATTTTCTCTAAATTTTAAAGTATATGATTTTAAACTCGAAAATTAGATTGAGAATACAAAACATTATTTACTAGTGAATAGATTGTCTTCAATTCTTTTCACTTAATATTCCATAAATTTCATTAATGATTATTTTTATGAATGAATAAGGGAAAATTAAATACATGGAATACATGAGTACAAACATGTAAATGTTATAATAAAAGCGAAGGTGACATATCAAAGGTGAAGTGCAGTTTTATACTTATATATAATTGTAATTTGACAAGATGTACTAATTTATTTATATTGCTTTAGTTGAATAAAACTAGGTATATCTATTGTTTTCTTCTTTTCTTTAGAAAAAGGTTAAAAATATGGATAAGTATAAGTTACCGTGATCATAACTTTTACTTTAGATTTTAGAATCCTAGCAACAAACAAAGGTTCAATTGCTTTAGAAAAAAGGGAAATGTTACTATAACTGATTAATGATAAAATTTAAGGTTAATGCATTATTTAAAAAAAATAATGAAAACAATACATTATATATATTTAAATAATATTTTTATTATCTTTAATCAATATTCATAAACACTTACTAATCAAATTTTTAAAAATTAAAACAATTCAAAAGTTAATAATTTTATCATTGTATCTTATTTTAACAGTTATATTCCAATAAAAAAAATTAATTTGATACTATATGTTATTTTATAAAAAGAAGGTTATAATTAAAAAAAATAATAATATAATGAATCATAGTTTGATAGTTTTGTTGTAGAGGCTGTTTCCTTTAATTTACTCAGTTTTGCTACCAGATTATTTTCTAAACATTGAATTTGTTTTTTAATTCTTGATTCACATGACTACTATGTATAATGGTGTAAAAAAGTTGCAGTTTGATGTTGGAAGGTTTTTTTAATAATTTCAAGTATAATAAAGGACAAAGAAGAAAATATAGATGTTAAAATTTGTTGACTTTAAAAGGTAACATTTTGAATGGGGCAATTTTAAAACTCAAAATTGATAAGTTTATTGGGATGGAAGGAATATAATTTCAGGGCCTAAGGCATGAAAAGTTGTTTTTGTTTTTTTAAAGGGTGCAAACTCAAAATCAATTTCTTAGTCATTTTCAAAACTTTGTTAATAATAAAAATGATAATGGTTTGAATCTGATTTGATTTTGATTAATGTATAGAATTATGAATTTTCAAAATGTAATCTAAATTTGAATTGATCTTTTTTTAAAATTAATTTGATTCGAATCAAATTTTATCGATTTGATTTATTTGTTGATTTTTTACAATTAATTTTTTTTTAATTTTTTGATATTATTTTAACATAATTTTTAATATATTTAATTAGAATTGGACATAAAATATTTTTTTTATTTTATAAACATTTAATATATATATATAAACTAATAAAAACATATAATTCATTTTGGTTTAAATTTTTTTACTTTTTGACTCGAACCTAATAAATATATTTAATATTTGAATTTAAATTACGAACATCTTGCAATTTAAATAAATTGAGCTAAAATATTGCGTAAAATTTTCTTATCAAACATAAGTTGACCCTGGACAATCTTAAATATAAACAAAAAATATGACATAATAATATTATTCGTTTACAGTTCTAATTACTATATCGTATAAGATTCTTTCCTTATAAATTAGTGAGAGTCTTTATATTCTTTATAACATTTTCTAAGCACGGGTGAAGGCAGGAATTACATGAGGGGGGTGCCAAATAATAATTATAAAGAGGAAAGGGGACCAAAGTAAAATTTTGGTGGGCTCGAGCACTGTAGAATAAAAGGGGTGAAATTTTTTTAAGGTGCCGTGACCCCTACCTAACCCCTAGCTTGACCTTTTTTTCTAAGGCTAAGGAATATAGAATTCCTTCTCTTTTAACAATTCTAATTTCGTTTTTCTTTTCAAAATCAAGGTTCAAAATATAGAGACAAAATTCAATAAAATTAACATATAATAATAAAATTCAATATTGACTCTTAAAATAGTAATAATTTTAACCATAACTCGTGAAAATTTAAAAGAAATGTCTGTTAATTATATTGATTAATGTAACCATAAATGAAATTCAACAAGTGATATTAAGAAAATATAATTGAACGTGCAAATTTTTTGTTACCAAGAAGGAATTCCCTAATCTTTGAATTCAGCTTTTTTTTTCCTCTGAGTCATAATATATAAATTCATGAATTAGATCGTTA